AGAGCAAACGGCAAAGTATTGTTATCATTTAACTAGGTTAGGTTACTTAAATAAATGTTATGAGCATTGCGTCATGACAGCTCTTACGAACTGCTTCAGCCAGACCAGGGCACACTAAAGATCAATTCAAATGTAAATTTGCAAAAAATAGGTGAAACATCTATATCTCTAGAAAAGCTAGTAGACAATTTGTAGACAAAAGCTTAATCTAAGCGGAGAAGTTACAAACTCAGTTTACGTATGCTACATTAACTAAGTACGAATAATGTTTGTAAGGTTATCAAAGGTAAAATACATTGCAGAAATACTTTTTTTTTTATGGAGTACATTTAACGTCAGTATTTTGCACGTTTGATACCGCACATTCACATTTTAGTAAGCCTGCTAAAATAGCTGACAACATACTTAGTTTTCAAGCTTTTTACAGTTACGTACGATACGAACACGACGATTTATCCCCACTGAGCGGCCTTATTCCGTCTCCTTCCCCGATGGGCATTTGACTCATATACGCATACTTTGTAGGGTCTTGTAAACATATATAATTCACATTTAATTATAGTCCGAGAAATGCCTTTGTAATGTATTGCATTATTTAACATTAGCTAGACATTTTCCATTAGTAAATCTTTGAGAATTTGCGCTACAACAATCATGGATACTAGGGGAAGTTTTTGTAACTGGTGTTACTATATAAATAAAATATCGTCCAAAAAGGTATGTTGCTTAACGTTTAACGAGTTGTACTACCAAAATGCCACGTTTGCATCTATAATAATAATACGCCTCAGCGCACACGGTCTAACCTGAACGACCTAACAGTTTGATTCCATTGGGAATAACACTTCTTAAAGATCGGTAAATGCTGTGCGAATTTTATTGCAACAGATATCTATGTAGCCAAATGAAAAAAATGTATATTTACATCTACCTAGAATTTTACGATCAATATGCATCTTTATTAAGAAGTATTTAACGGAGCTAAGAGGCCATAAAAGGAATAGATTGTATATTGATGTGGGAACTGCGTGAGACAAGACATGTAGTCGAATTGAGTATAGCTCTCTGAACATGGCTTTGCTACATATGATGAAGGAAGTTTTAGACATAAGAAATTGAGCAAGTACGAAACAAAAGCCCGAGAAGAAGCAACATTGTGCAAACAATTAAATTTAATTTAGAGGCACCGCTATTAAGAGTGCAATTCGGTTATTACAAATACTTCAATAAATGCACTGTACGTCATAAGAATATTAAATCATCACTACAGTAGCACGGTTTGTTCTTGCAGCCTAATGTGATTCGAGACTCAAACGGCTCAAGTACGAATATCGAATAAATAGATACATATAGACAACAAATAGATAAATGTTAACATCCCTTTTTCGGTGCACTTCCCATAAAGATTTAAAAGCGAAGTTCAATTTTTGCATATTATTAACTTTATATCAGGTGCGATATATCGACAAAAATGATCTTAAGAAATTATGCTTCAATTAATGTCAGCTATTACTTAAGAAATATTTCTTCACAGCTGAAGGGCATTGGATTGGATTTTTATATAAGCATTGTTTATTGTCGGAGGTTTAAAACGGAGCTAACGATTTCGTTTCACCTTTCATCTTTTCAGGGTGGGTGTGGTTTATTCGTCTAATGTTATATCGAAAATGGCAACGAAAGGAATAATCGCTCTGCCGCTACTTCTGTGGCCCTACTCAACAGCAAAAGTTATCGTAAGGCCGGCATCTAGAGCAGCGCTGGACAAAAAGTTATTCTGCAATGAACAAACCATTTAGGCTTAAGTAACCTTTTCAGACTAAAAAATAAGTAACACGTTGGCGGTTAATATCGTAAGACTAAATAACCGTTCTTGATCCATGTGATCTCCAATATGACTAACTTGTTCGCCTATTTTAATTCCTACGAAAATTTTTTTTCTACTTTGTACTACAGATTATTGTTATTACATGGATAAGTCGGCAGAATTTTTCATCTACTCTTTCTGTACGCCTTTCGGGAAACTTTGTCTTTTTGTAGAGTTTTTACTAAACGTAAATACAACATCTGTATTCATATATCAGAACCATTTTGGCACCTTTAGCTTAGTGTTATTTATGTCGCACTTGGTTATCGTCAAAGGCCCTACTGATTATTTAGTCGGAAAGAAGATATTCGTGCTTACTGATTTTATTAGTTGTTTATTAATTATGGACTTTTTCAAACTTTATTGTCACAGTCTCACGAGACGTAATTCGATGGGAATATTTCAATGGAAATAATATTTGGATTTGCCTCTTCGAAATCCACATTAAATCAAGTGTGTAAGTGAAAATAATAAAAGAATACAACATAAATCTCCTTTGCACGTCTGGATAAAACGAGTGCAAGCAGCCTCTTTATTCCTTCTTTAAAAAAGCTTTTTTCCGACACTTCCCAGTTCTCCCGTAGCCGTAGGCGAACCAACGCCGGCTACTGAAACCATTCTACTGTTACGTCCCTCAATGCTGCCACTGCGTCAGCCAACCTCTATACTGCTGCTGCTGCTGCTGTTCACCCCTAAAACGAGCGACTCCGCGTGCGCGTCCTTATAAAATGCTCCGTCAGGTTATAAAAAAGCTTTTAGAGAAGGAGCGACGGAAAGGCCTCGAAACGCCATGAGACACCGCCATCGAGCAGATTTTGCTTCTTTTCTGCCGTACCCCTCCAAATCTAACTTGTCTCTATCAAATCGGGAGACGAAAGAACTAAGATGGGGTCGGCCGCCCTAAGCCAGTGATTCAAGCCACTTTTTTAGTGGCAGCTCTGCTGCTGCTGCTTCAAGAGGAAGTTGGCTAATTGACTGACTATCAGTGAGGGACTTCTATCTTTTCTTTCTTTTACTCTATTCGTACCGTACGCTCTCATCCCGGAACAGTCATATGCTATCTTCGACTTACCTCTCGAAAGACTGGATCTTCGTGAATTCAACTGAACTCGTTATGAGAAGCTGCTGCCGTAGTTTTTCCAACACCCCCAGGTGTATATATGTGTAAAAAGTATCGTTCGACAATGAAATAGAATAAAAGCATTTATCTACAACTATGAAATATCAACCAAAAACAGCGTGTTAAAAAACGATTAACGTAATTAGCTCCTTACGTGGTATGTTGTAAAGCGAATAACCGGCGCAATTATTGAAAAGAATGGGCATACATAAGACGTAAGGTAACTTTGTTAAGCTACATAATATATATATGAAGAACTACAACGGAGTAGTTGTCATAAATCATCAATGTGGTGAATGTTTGGTAAGTAAACTTAATCGTTAGTTCTAATCTCTTAGTGGATTTATACTTAATCGAGCATTTAGAGATATAACAAAAACTTGATGATATAAAAATCGACCTCATACTTAAGAACTAGCGATGTGATTGTAATGGTCCTGTTCGTAGACAGGCGCCCAACGAACGTATTGTCAAAAACGTTTAAGGTCATCACCTTGCTAGACTAGATGGGAAAATCACTTACGAGCTTCAGTGACAACGAGCTTCATGAAAGCCGTAAAGTATTTTTCTTAAAATAATATTCTGAAGTCTTTCGGTATCAACACGTATTCAACGTATATTGAACAAAAAAGGAAAGGCGATTTTGGTTCAATGAAATATTGGATTAGTCCTGTACAAAATGACTTATTCCACTATGTCACACATCTCTTTATAAAACAAAATACGTATTGAATAATGTGGTCTAAACTTTATTTATTGAGTTTTATACATGAAAAGAAACATGCCAGCTCGGCTTCCACGATACCCAGCTCTTGTATTTCTATGTTTGCTTTCTCTTAATCAAGGACACCGCGAGAAAGGAAGCGAATTTACCGGTTGGAGTGCAGAGTTCTGTTTTAGATAAGCGGCTTGTTTGTCATGGCACAGAGCTGTTCTGCTGTCAGATGGTTCTAAATTTGCTGTACTTCGCCTTCATGATATTTGGAAGCTTTTCATGTCGAAAAGAATAAAAGCGTTTAGCAAAAGCGAATAGCTTACTTCCAGCTAAGAGTACGATTGTTCACTTCTGATAAAAGGTGTAACTTTTCTACGACGTTCTTCTGGAGGGTAATAATAGCATTAGTAAAATTAGATCGTCAATGTACGCCAGCTAGAAGAATATTGGCTCCCAAACGAGACATCTCATTATCCGCATAAATGCAAATGCGTCTGTATGCAACTCCATCATAACTATGACAATGCGTGTATTCACGTTTCGCGTCCCTTTGAACCAGATGCACACAAGACGCAAAACTGTTAGCTTTTTACTGAGAGGAAAAGATCTACGAAACGTAGGCGCATCATCGCTTTTAGCTGTAGGTCCATTGCCTGATAAATCCCCAGAAACAGTAAATTTTAGTAGGTATTAGTAATTAATCGCGTTAAGTCTTACGTCCTTCCAGCTCCATCCTACCTGAACAGCAAAACTTCGGTTTCTTTGTTTTAACAAAGCGGTATCTCATTTCTTAACTCTATGCTGCCTGTGGATTATAAATTTTTCCTACATCCCTCGTCAGGACCTTACCGTACCTACTGACGTCGTAAGTAACGAGTTGCGATTAGGGCGTATCCAATCCAAATACGAGAAAGCCTTTCCATGGCATATCAAAAGCGTTCTCCGGCTGAAGTACAGTCATTTTCTTGTATTTTTTGAGCTCCTTATGTCATTACACCGCTCGTAATGTATTTGAACATGGGCCCCACCGTCCCGCATATAGCATTCCCATTGTGAAAAGTACTGGCGCGAAAAGGTTTCAGCATTTACACGAAATAAATCTGCCTTAGCAGGTATTTTGTCGTCTGGAAGGGGAGTTCTTAAGAGCTGACTTTTTAATTTCAAACGTATAATATTTCATAATAATTTCATTTTTCACGAATATGTCCGCATGCTAATGATTTGAGCTATGATTTGACGTACAGCAAGTTGCCCAGATTGCGCAGTCTCAAAAACTGGATTTGGAAATCAGAGAGCAAACACTACACAAGGATTTTTTCTTCCTTCCGTTTTTTCGTGACAACGGTGCCTGGTTTGTGCTGGGCATCGGGATGGTTTGCTAGTTCCGTGGGGCAGTTGGATACAGGACTTGCCAGCAACATCTGCTTAAGGTCATAGAAGAGTGCCGAATCGTCTTTGGTACAAAACGAGATGGCCTTACCGTGGTGACCTGCACGACCCGTTCGACCAATACGATGAGTATAATCTGTAGAACAAAATAACAAAGCGGTTAAGTCAATCCGCGAATTGCTCATCATGGAAGTAATGCAGATGCGAACAATATTTAAGTTGCAAAGGCTACCCATTGGATATTTACTACACGACTAAGACGCTTTACTCTGATAATAGTATTATATGTAATCCCCAATATCTGGCGATATCAGCGCTACAAAGCACTTTAACTGTATGGTATTCTATATCTCCTGGTGCAAGCACACTAGTACTATTTGAGGCCTCAAGTCGACCGTGACGTCTTGGCCCATAATATTTTTTGTGCGACTGACTGGACATAGTTCTTTTTGTAATACTTCGAAATATTTTTTTTCTGGAGCTTGCCAATGTGTTTGCTGCTAAAAAAGACAATGTGTTCTTCGATTAATTGATGTATTATGTAACAGCGTGCTGGCTTTGAAACTTTTGTTCGTATACGTACCTTCAATGGACTTTGCCATGTCATAGTTAATGACGAGCGACACTTTCTGAATATCAATTCCTCTTCCAGCGACATCGGTAGCCACTAGAATATCTTTTGTTCCGTTTTTGAGCGATGCAAGGGCATATTCTCTCTGTTCTTGGCCTTTACCGCCATGAAGTGTACAGGTATTGTAGCCAAGCTTCTCCAGACCCTAAAATTTCATCGAGGTGTAAATGTTGGAGTTCCAATAATACTATAAGCTTCTACATAACTGCGGTTTACTTCCAGAAATGATAAGTGCGTACGCATACACATATGTACGTGTGTTTGCTCTAAATGCTGACGGCAATCTAGAAAATGTGAAGCATTCGCACTCGATTGGATATTATTATATACCCTAAAATAGAAATCGATTAAATTGCTGGAGAAGAACTAGGCCTATCTTTGTACGTTTTCGTTAGTATTAAGTCTAAGAAAGGATGGTTAAAAAGTTAACGCTAACCTTCGCAAGGACATCGACACCCTTTTTCTGGTTGACAAAAATGATGACGGGAGGTTGAACTCCGGCCTGGAGAATTTCAACGAGTTTCCTACGTTTATCCGGTTCATTCATAATGTGTACAATCTGTTCAACGCGCTCGGTTGGTTTGCCTACCGAGCCGATGTAGACTACAGCTGGGCGACGGAGATATGTTCTGGCTAAACGCTCGACAGCGGGTGGCATAGTGGCTGTGAACATCACCGTTTGCCTTAAAAAAACCAAAGCAGTCAACCTTATGACGAATCACCCTTAACGTCGTAAGGCTTTCAATCAATATATATCGTTTGGAAGTTAATCAAAAATATTTGAGTGTCTAGCTGATGAGCTCATCAAGTAATATTTGTTGTGTTAATTGAGGACTAAGGATAATAATCATGTTAGCAAACAAGCAACGAATATTAGACTTGAGTTCTGCCATGAAGAGATCACTAACAAATCAGTTAGCTGAAAACTCGATCAGAGGGTACACATGTACCTGTAGTTTCACTTCATTCATAGTTTTGATCAAGGACACAAGCGAAACATAAATCTCGAGTTAACGTTATTTGTCTATTTAATTGTACCTGTACTTTTGCGATGTGTTAAAATTGGCCAGCAGAAAGGCTTCGTTTTCGGCATCGTCAGTATCTGGCTTTTGATTTGTTACAGGCATGTGATCAAGAACCTAAAATAAAAAAACAGGATGAAATGAAGGCGGAGGTAGCAGCACATAAGCATATATTAGTGTCAATTAACAGTTTGACACTTCGACAAAATTCCTTCCTAATCATGGGCAATGTATGTATATACACACATGTGGACTTCACACAACGTGAAAAATAAACATTTCTCATAGATTACTGCAAACGGGAAAAAGAGGATCTTTTAGGCATTTTCTCAATAAGGTTTGTGAGACATAGAAATGATAAAATTGCTTAGTTTTCCTAGCTCTAAAATATAGGCACCAAGAGTGGGGAAAGCTGCCAAAAGAACACCGTAGTAGAATAACAATAGCTGTTCAAAGCATTTGCAACAAGAACTCGGGTTTTGAACAAGTGGTGAATACGCTTTCGGGTTAAATTCGAGAAGTAACAGGGCAGCAGTGCTGGGTTGTGTTCGCTAACTATGTGTCGTATAAATCATGTCTGAAAAAGGGACGCAAGTGAGTGAGACCGGGTGTGCATGGATAGAAGCGGGTGATGTTCTGCATGTTATGTGATACTTATCGTTATTATTTCAGACTATAATGTTTTTCTCTCATAAAACTACTAATTTATGTAGAAATAAACAACACCTTTTGGACGTCTGGTTCAAACCCCATATCAATCATGCGATCGGCTTCGTCAAGAACAATATATGTGCACCGCGATAGAACCAAGTATCGGTTCTCAAGAACGTCAATCAGACGACCCGGAGTAGCAATAACAATCTGCAAATAAAATATCAGTAATTAAAAACTACTTGGTTAATACAGCCGTTTACATTCAAAACCATATTGCAAAAGGGATATAAAATAATATACATGCTTAACATACCTAACACAACCGCTTTGAATTATAATTTGCCTTCAATGGCAATAGTAAAAGAAGGCCATGACAAACATACCCTTTATTTAAAAAAAAAAAAAAAACATTTAAAGGAGATACGTGGCTGGTCCGAAAGGTTTTAGTCTATTTTTTTGATAATATGGGTTTTATGATCAGGTAGAGGAAATAGACAAACCTCGCAACCCATTCGCAGCTTAAATCCTTGTTCTTCCCTGGAAAGACCTCCGATGACGGCCACTGTGCGAATTCGCATTTTCTTAGCGAACTTTATCGTTTCCTCTTCGATTTGTTGAGCCAGCTCACGTGTAGGTGCCATAATAATTGCATATGGACCCTGCATACAGACAAGAAGACAATGTACTTATATGAGGACAGAACTAATTAAATATGACTGGGAACTGGATTGTCATTTGCATAGCAGAGAAGTACATATATGCTCTGAAAACAACTGATTTATTACTAAATATATTAATACAAGACCATACAATACTAAATAAAGGTATACAGCTATCACAGAAAAGAAGCTATTTTATTATAGAATGCCCTCGGCAAACTGATTGCTGTGGTGATGCAATCGCCATATATAATCCACATGTCGCATTATATTATTAACAACTTAATTTAAGCATAATGCTTAACCTATAGTAGCAGTTAAACGGTTGCCATATGTATGAGCAAACAAACCTGATCGGCTGTTTCGATGACGTCCTGTTGGGGCAGTGATGAAATCCAACATAACAGAGGAAATAAAAAGGCGAGAGTTTTTCCTGAACCAGTTTCGGCTACCCCTATAATGTCTCTATTCTGTAGACCAATTGGAATGGCTTGCCGCTGAATCGGCGTTGGCGCTTCATATCCGAGTTCCTCAAGAGTCGCTGTAATCTCATGGGGAAGGTTTGCCTCGTTCCATTTACGCAGTGGGTTCGGGATATTGCCACCTATATTAAACAAAATCAACAAAATTATAGTAACTGAGATTTTAACATCGCTGCGAAACAAATCCATGGTATATCAGAACAAATTAATACTAATGCATTTCCCAAACACTATAGGAATATATACAATTAGTATGTTTCCATGAGTAAACCTAACTTAAAATGACGGATTTGAATCTACCATGTTTAAAAACCAAAAACTGTTTAGTGATTAAGTATACAATTAACGTCCTTGCATAGATATAATAACTCTTTACCATACCCCAAACTTTTTTTCTTATTAGGTGCATGTAGAGTGGTACGTTCAAACTGAGAAAAATTTGGCAGCCTGTTTAACGCAGTAGGCATGCATTTATCCACTATTTCTACTACTAGATAAAAAGCAGATGTTTTTAGAACAAAACAACAAACTCGTCATGGCAAACATATGTGCATCGTATTCGATGTTTTAAAATTAGCTATTATGGCATTTTTTCATGCTGGACAAACCCCTATCAAAATAACTTTTTTTTTGCTAAAAATCGATGGTCTATTTATTCTCGATAGGGTTTAGCTATAAAGGGTTGACGATTCACCACAGTAGCTTAAAAAACTATTTCCGACTAATTTGGTCTTTTAGACAGGAATTTGAACCCCTCGAATTTTTGAGACTTTCGTCTGGCTACTACACCAAAATGTTAACTCTGTTGAGATATTTTGTTTATAGCGGTATTTAACATATACTAATATCACTTGGTGTATGGTTACTATTAAAAAGATATTTGCGGGTTTAAAAAAGAAATATTTCAAAAACGATAGTTAATGGTCTAAGTCCCAAATCGAAACTGTAATCCTAGTAGATGGACGTTATGTTATACGATCATGACTGCTATGCGTAATACTTCTAGTATATTAAAAAAAAAACTATAATTGAATTACCTGTTCTTTTTTAGGTACAATTTTAGAATATATTAAAATTAAGATAAGGACAATTTAGACGCGTCACGCTTATAAAAATGGGTTTCATGATAATTATTATTGAATGTTAAAAAAAATATTTGAGTAACGTTGTGTAACCAAATTATGTAAACTTAGTTAAGTTAAGAGGAAAGATAAATCCACCTTTAATGGAAATATTGAAGTCTTCTCGGAAAATCCGCCAATCTCTCTCTGTCATCTCTGTGACTTCCTTCTGAGTCCAGTGGCGATCATCCCATTTCTGCTTTTCTTCCCGATTTTTGAGCTTCTTCAAACGAACTCTGAAAATCGATGCCAAGAAACAACTCGAGTTATTATCAACTACTTTGACTGTTCTGCACATCGTTAAAGCAAATGTTTAATATGACAGCAGTGTTCTCGAAGTTACCATGCCTCCGAAGGGAACAAACAATGGGTAACTTAAAAGAATTATTTAGAGAACTCATTACAGAAGTCAGAATTACAAGAAATTGGCAAATATAAGAAATTTGGAAAACCATACTGCGTGATAGTTTGTGGCCAATAAAGTATTTACAAGATATCAAGTATACAAACAGTTTTGTACAAAAAAAATGACGTACAGTTCTTGCTCCTTCTCCTGTTTTGTTCTTCTGGCCTCAAGAAGTTCACCATAAAATTTACTTTGCTCTTTTTTCTGTTGTTTTATATCGATTCCAGCTACGTGTCCACGGCCAAAGAGCTGCACAGTATGTCGTTCCTGAAATCGTCCCGAGAAAATATGTAATGACTATCTCTTACTTTTTGTTTTTCTGTTATCTTAAACACATCTGGTATATTACTCCGACCAACGTGCAGGAGTAAATGTTGTAAACAAGGCCAATTCGCATGCATATTTACAAGTGTGCATTAAGACTTACATATCTTTAAAGATTACCTAATTCAAGGTATCGTACCTTATAAAGAGGGTTATAATCATTCCCTGTGTCCTCAGAGGCGTCCCAGTCGAATACGAATTTCTTATCGTTAAGTTTCCGGATTCGTCGCTTTTTCTTAACGATGCCCAAATAACGCTCCTATAAGTCAAAACGGGTAACTATCATTATTCGAAAATCTTTATGTGCTTTTTAACATAAATACCGTGACAACATTACTACTGACATTAATAATAACTACATGTTTTATTTTTACTATACATACCTTCTTCAGTTCATAGGTAAAAAAAACATAGCGGATAAATGATAAGTGATAAATAATATAAATAAATAAAAAAAATAAGATAAATGACCAGCTGGGCCTCTTTCAGCCTGGGGCTCTTAACTTATTGTGAATAAAAAACCTTAATGGCCTCGTGTTCTCTGGCTCGATCTCTTTGAGAACTCATTCCCGGCATCGGCTCTTTACGCTCTTCTTCAGCTCGGCGTCTCTCTTCACGCCGTCGCTCTCGTTCGCGTTCATCATTGCGACCTCTAGAACGAACCTAAAAATTCCAGAAAAATATATACACGGTAGTTCAACATCTTTCCGGCACCTTTGTCGAACTGTAAAGCGGCCATATAATATACACAAATGGATATTTTTTTCCTAGCATTTTTGTTACCCGAAGTGATGAGAGTATATGTAAGTGTTCATGCTTAGTTTTCTTCATGAAGTTCTTTGACTAATGGCATTTACGGAGTTCACACTTACCTCATCAAGGAACTGTTGTCTGTTTTGCCTTTCTTCATCCATCCGCTTTCTCTGTTCTTCAATTTCTTGTTGCCGTCTCTTCATCGCTTCAGCTGCGCGCTGTTCCTTAGTGAGAAACACTGGCTAAAAACATAAGTCCTCAATTATCAACAGTGTTTCGCTACAAAATATTATTTTATATTTAGGAAGTATTTTAGATCTCTACTTTACCTTTGCATTAAAATTGTCCGTTCTTAAAGGGGTAAGTAGGCAAAACTAGTTTTATTGGGATAAATTATTTTGAAACGTCTTATCATGTTATAGGTATAATACAAGAACACCTTTATTTCATAAATAATATTACCTTAGTCTTGGCCTCTTCTTCCGCTTTTTTCCTGGCAAGAAGCTCTTCCAGTGAAAGAGGCTCCTTTTTTTCCTTGTTGTTATTAGCCTCGCCGCCAGATCCCGTGTCAGGAGGTTTTTCCAGACGATTTTTTTCATCTTCCTCATCATCTTCAATTTTTATCACCTAATTAAAAGATACAAAATTAATCATTAAGCTGTGTCTATGTTTCTGTCAGAGCTATAGATTTTAGACCAAACGTTTTGTGATTTATATTAAAAACTATAACGAAATATTTGAAAGGGTTCACTTCACTACGATATGAAAGTGATATGATAATAGGGATAAAATTAAATATTTAAAGCTTAAAGAACAGTTTCATGTAAGCGTGTTAAAAGTTCACACTTTCCCTCTGGAAGAAGATAGCTCCTTCGTAATATCAATATATATGGATCCAGAAATCAAATGCTGGTGCTTATGTATCTAGGTGCAGTTTGTGTACATTTGCTCATGGATATCTTCATTTCGTTTTGGACACGAATACAGGTAGTTTGCACTTTAGTGTGTAACTCTTAAAGCCTATCCTGCGGACAGAGCTACAACCTCTAGACGACATAAAGCACATCGATCCATCAATAACATGTAGCATCTAGAGTAGGCTTACACGACTCGAGCTAACGAATCTTATGTTTTTTGACTTCTATTGTTCGGTACTATATAACAGGAATGAGCACGTTTGCCAGTCCCAAGCTTGTTTCGATTTCTGCCTTTCTCAATCTAACGAATTGTTAGTAACTTATGAATAGTTCCGCGTTGCACAAGTCATGAGTGCATCGGGATGTGGTATGCTTGAAAAGGCCGTAGCCTTCTATTAAAGATTAAGTTCGCTATGTCCGCTTAATTACTGGTAGAAATCGTGAGAAAAAGTGTCACACATTGAAATATGAAAGTCACACATTCATTAATAAACCGTGTCAACGGATTAATAATAATAATAATAATGTATCGCCCAATAACGAACAATTCATCAGCACTAATACAAATAACAAAAATAATTTGCGTTATAGTGCCATAATATTACCGTAATGAACCTATTAGTTATCTAAGCAAATTTTTGATTATCGAACTCCTAATAAATATCAATTTTTCTTCACCAAATGCAAAATCTGCTTTTTAGAAACTATAAGTCGTGGCTAGAATTGTCCTGTGTAGCTTTTATAACCTTTTATAACCACTATCATATTTTATCAAACTACATATATTCTTTCAACTGACGTAAAATATCAATGACGAAAACGATTGAATGGTCAGTAACCCTTGACACACCTCTTTGGTATCATCCTTGTCATTTCTGTCCTTGATCCGCCTGTCCCGAGAGCGACTTCTTGATCTCCTTCGTCCCCTATAAAGCAATTGTAAAAATGCAATGTAAAGATAATAAACTCGCTATGGCCCGAATGGATTTCGTCAAGTTTTACCAACTACCAAGAGACGTAACATTTACGAAAGTATATAGTACATATGAAGTCTTTTTCTCTCTCTCTCTCGCCTTTATA